GGCCGGATGGAGACGATCATGAGGTTGAAAGGGGCCTCTATGTCACCGGGCCTGCGGGCTCACCTACCTGGAGAGACTCCCCACTCTGGAGGCCTTACCTTAAAGAGGGACATTCACACTGAAGCAAACTTGAAAAGAGAGAACACGTACACAAAAAGAAGTTTACTTGGCCAGCATTTCCCTCATCGTCTTTGGTGTTCACTGAGGACAGCTAGGTTTCTGGGGAGGCAGCTCTCTTCTTCCTATATTGGCTTCCCCCTCAATTCCATTGCTGAAAGCCCCGAGAGCCATAACCTCAGAATGTAATGCTTTGGAGAACAAGGAATAGACACACAAGAGGAAGCCACGAGTGGACAGAATACCCCCACTACCTGTAGAATCAGACGATGCCCTACAAACACACCACTCTTCTCCCTACGGCCCCAAAGCAAGGTAAGCTCACTAGTAGCACACAAGCTAAATGTGCCGCTTTCCTGGGTAATTACATAGTACTACCATCTCTGAAGTGAATCCCCAATGGGAGAGACCAGTGGATTCCACGCTTAGATATTATAATCAAGTACCAAAAGCTTTGACACAAGCCATGATAATTGTCCTAGTCCCCTGCTCACTCATGGCAGGGATTCATCCACATGTTCTACCATGAGCCCTTGCCCTGCAGCCAGCCAATCCCCGTAAATGATTTGAGCACCCATTGGTGTAGGCTTTGGTTTTGGTAGTGATGATACATCGCTTGTAGAAAATCAGTGCGGCATGTGGGTAGATAAGAGGGTAGAAAGGAGAAATATAAATGAGAACACAGAGGAAAGAGGATATATATGACAGCTGAGAGGACAAATAGAGACGCAACTGTCCATGCGGAAGCAGAGGCCACTGAGAAGTGTCCTGGGTGGGAGTTAGTTAGGGGCGGGGGGTGACCATCTGAAGGCAGGAAACCCAGCTGCACTCATGATAGCTGGGAATCAGGGCAGGAGTGACACAGAGAGGTGGAGACACCAGGGGAGCAGAAATCTGAGTTCAGCAAACACCTCAGGAAGGCAGAAGCCTGGAGGGACAGCAGCCAGTCGAGGTATGTGATGGAACCAGACCAGAGGCCAAATTCCAGACTCCAATCTGGATAATCTCCTTGGTGATATCTTCTGGGTGATGGGGGGAAGGCTTCCTGCAGAGGGTTTAGAGTCAAGCCCTGAGCTATTTTCTTGATGTATCCTTGGTCCTGTGGGTGTGAGCCAGGGCCCCTGCCTCCAGCTGAGACTAAGCCTGCTGAGGCAGGTTTGGTTGTGTGATGGGAGTCAGGAAGGGTCAGAAGGTACACCTGGATTCTTCTGGAGTGCTAAGCTAAGCCTCATCTTCAGTGCCTGACAAACTATCTCACAAAACCAGCTCCTTCCTGAATCCAACATGTAGAATACCCCCAGGTGATCCAGTTGGCAGCAAGCGGAGGAGTACAACACTTACTACTGAGCAAGTTTTAGAGATTGGTGGCATTCCGGTTGTGTAGGGAATGTCCCAGGAGCAAATGGATCTATCCCCAGACAGAGGGAGCCCTGAGTTCCATCAAATACCCCAGCATCTGATCAAACTGGAGATATCAGCCCACACGAGATGGGGGCTGTTCATGTACTATACGCTCCTTGCTTGTCAACACCTTTTCACTATCTCCTTGCAACCACAGCCAGCTGAGAATTCTTCCCAATGCCTGGCTCAGAACCACCTTTCCCCTTCTGCCAAAGTCTTTTCTTCCCCAGGAACTGCTCTCCCAGGAACTGCTATCTTCATCACACGACTCTTTAAGCCCAAGGAAAGCTGGTCTTCTCCCATGAGTAGAAGGAAGAGCTCTGTGGGGATATGCCTCAGCTTGCCAGTGTCTCCCCAGTGGCCTTGTGTGGGTACCCATCTGTTTACCTTATTGTAAAGATGTACCTGCTTCCTCCTGCCATCTGTACTAAGTAGATACCCATATCCCAGGTGGTAACCCTGAGCCAATTAGACGAGGGGGCTGGGGGGGAGACCGGGAGGGGAGGTGATGGCTCATAAAAACCTGGTGTGAGTTTTCACCCTGGTTCTTTAAGGCCTTCTGAGTCAAGAAATGCAGTTTCTCAGTGCTTGTTTTGCTAGTCTCTAGTCAGGCTGGTGCCATTTTCATATTTCAGGAACAGAGCTGGGACACCTTCCTGATGGTTAACTAAACAGGAGGCATCTCCTAAAACCTAATTTTGATATTTCTCTTGAGAGAAATCTCAGGTCTCAAGGATGAAGATGTGACCAGGCACTTAACGAGTTGAAATAAGCCTCTAGAGACCTGTGGCTGAGAGTACTGTAAGGACCCACGTGAATCGGCCAGCGTGACCAGGAACACCTCTTGTACGTCCCATACTTCTTCTCCAAGATGCTCTCATTCTCTCCCCCTAGCTGAAATTAATCAGCCTAATAAAGCCTCCCTGACGCCCACCTAGGGTATGGGATAATTCTGGCGGTCTAGGGCAGAGTGAGGATATACACAGAAGTCAAGTCTCCATGGAAATGGTGAAGGCAGACTTTAGGAAATTGACTAAGAGAGATGTAGGGAGGTTCCGGATGGCCCATGTCCTGCCATCCACTCAAGGGATAGTGAAGCTTCCAATCCCCGCCCCAGGAAAGGAAGTGATCAAGACTACTCCTCAGTCCTTGGTGGTGGTGTTGAGAGGATCGAGGAAGAGAAAACTCTGATCCCTTGTGCTGCAGGGACCTAGGAAATCCCACCTGACTCCTGACCTAGGGAAGTACTTCTTCCTGCTGGTTCTCAGGGGATCATCACTCCTGTCCATGAGAGCTCCTGACTCTAAGTTAAACAGAGATAGTCCAAATGGGATCCCTGCCAGCACATTAGCAAAGTAGTTCACACACCAGCCGCTACCTGTTCTTCACTCTTGTTTCCTCTGTGACTGGTTTGTACTCCAGCCTGTAGGTCCATGAGTTGACATACACTATTCACCTCCCCTCACTCTGCCCTTACTTGATGTGTATCTACTGGATTTGACTCAAAACTCCTGGCCCTGGCCCTTCACCATTAAGGTCCTGTCACCTACATATCCCAGGGAGAATCTTGTCTCTATGATTGCTATGTTAAAATGTCCTTTGTGACTCTCTCTTTCTTCCAGGGGCATCTCTAGAGACTCTTGAGCTTCCTATGCTCATTATCGACTCTTTTCTCCTATACATTCAAGAATCTTCCCTGAGCCTCTCCTCCCTACACCCGACAGACTGCTTGTTCCTCCATCTCTGTGCAGTCCTGTGGGGCCTGGGGCACCCCAAGTTTAATTCATAGTGGTTTTGTTGACACTGGGTCCCAAGACAGTGTTAATGTCTAACTAGCCATTAATTTTTTCCTAGCTGGGTGAGGACTCAACTCTATTTCTCTTTTTTCTAGGGGATGATTAGTTTAGGTTAAATCTAAATTAAAATTTATCCTCAGATAGATCCAAGCCTTTTTTTCTCTCTGCTAGGCCACTGGAATCTGCTTTCTCCATTTACATGGGGTCAGTAAATCTTGTTCTTTGAGACTTGGATAGAGGTCCCAGCTTTCAGCCTCCAGGCAGGCTGACATGTAAAGCAGAGGCCAGTCAGCCTGAGCAGCCTATATCCTAATACTTTCCCATATCTCAAACCCTTGTCACAGCTTGGAGCAGAGGTCCAGAGCCATGGGGAGATAGGCCAAAGGAGAGGAGAGGTTCACAAAGAAACAAAGGGGATCTTATACCTACTCTATCCCAGGTTAATACTCCCAACAAAAACCATGCAGTTCAAAGGAGAAAGTACAAGAGGAATGGTAGCTGATTAAACATCCAGGAATGGTCTCTTTGGGATTGGCTGATGCCCTTCAGCTTTGCTTTTCACCTTTCAGCTTTGCTTAGCACTGATAGTGCTAAGATCATAGCACTATCAGTAATCACAGAAAGCCTCATGGAGAATGGAATTCTTCTTTGTGGATGCACAAAGCCCAAGAGAGTCTTTTCTATAGGAGCTGGGTAAGAATCAGACCAAGGAGTCTGATTTTTGTCAGCCTCCTATGACTCCGCTGACAGAATTCAGGAGACGGAGGGCTGACTAGATGATCTCAGATCTCCTCTGCTTGGATCCCTGGCATCTGCCCAATAAACTTGCATGTTATACTCTCCCGTCCAACTCCCAGGAATCTATCTGCTTGCTGGCTACCAGAGTCCCAGTCTGAGATGGATTGTCTCACTGGGCTACAAAACAACACAATTAACACGTCCCACATACATTACAGGCACTGTCACTGATGCTCTCTCTCCCGTTCTTCCTCTCTCACCTTCCCTCCCTCTCTTTTCTTGCCCTCTCTCCATCAGTGGCAGACCACTGGCAAGACACAATCTTTGTTTTAAGAGTTATGCCCAGATGGCAGTTTAGTTCCTTTTTCCATCTTCTGAGTGTCACACATTCTTGATGTCCCTGGCCCCTGTACTCTACCTGGGAGTGAGAAATGAAGGGACTTAACAAGGTCCCAGGAAATAGCTTTTCCAGGCAGAACCCTAGGGCCAATCTTCCCCCACAGCACCTAGACCTCCTGCTCTGCACTAGTGCTATACCATGATTGCGAGCAGTATTAACATTTTACTTTAAATGTATGCTTTCAAAGAGTCCATCAATCACACAAAGAAACCCACCTCATTAATCTATCAACAAACTGTATATTTCTACCAGATATAGAAGAAGCCTCCTTGTAAATTTTGACCCAAATAAACAAAGGAGTCTCTGCAGAGATAAGAAATGCAGTGCTATGGCCACCACAGGCCATCCCTTCATGAGTGTTATGAGTCCCATATATTCAGCAGTCCATGCTCTAGGCCTAAGAGTCCCTTCCTCAGGGAGAAACCCAGCTTTCGCCTGCTGGTCACCAGGGCTGTAAGCCACACCCAAGGCCAGGCTTTCTGGGTGCACAGCCTGCTGCATAGGTACCCGCTGGCCTGTGGAATGGAACATGTTAGGGTTCCACTTACAATTCTGGGTTTGAAGGGGGGCTTGATCTTCTTCTGTTCCAGGAGCACCCAGTCGATCTCCTTGAAAAATGGGTGCTGCTTAATGGCGTCTTCTCCGTTCTGTGTGGCCACACAGCCTAGGCGCTTGTGGGGATTCTTGGTCATGAACTATGGAGAGGAGGACATAGCACAGAATTATTGACAGATGCAGAGGCTGAAGCCTGCCCAGGGAGCATCTTCGATGTCATTGCCCACAGCTTATGTTGGCATTTGTAGGGGGTCTCACTTTTCAGGGTGTTCTAGAACTCTGGCATGTATGATGTGGTATATGCCAGTGACCAGTGTATACACACACACACACACATACACGAACTTATTTCATTCTCACCCAATCCTATAGGATGCTATTGATATCTCTACTTTATATGGGAGGTTCTTGAGGCATGGATAGGTTAATTAACCAGGCCAAGGTGGCATAGCTAGTAAGGTAACCAAGTCAACATTAGGATCTTAGGCTCTTAACTCTCTGATCCACTTAGATTTTCAAGCCTTCTCACCAAAGAGACTAGGATCTGAAAAACCTATTCATAGCAAGAGGTCAAATCCTTTTGGAGGTAAAGAAGACCAGGTATGCACGTGAAGGTAGATGATCAAACATACTTCCTGTTCCATGTCCTTGTCTCTCCTATGTTTTTAAATATTTGAATTTGCAATAGATACACAAAAATTCTCACAGTGGTCAAAAGGTAAAAGACAAGAGAAGGAAAGGCCTACTGCTTTGGAATCCCTATGTTCTAGGGGTGTCCTGTGACCCCCCCCATCCCTGGATAGAGTTACTGAATAAGTCAGTCCTGATGGTAAGCATTACTATAACTAATAATATAACCAATATATACCCCTCAAAATGCCAGGAAGTGCTATTTCCTTTTTTTTGTTTGTTTGTTTTTTGATTGGTTGTGGGGCTTGAACTCTGGGTCTGCACACTGTCCCTCAGTTCTTCATCTCAAGGCTAGCGCTCTACCACCTGAGCCACATCACCATTTCCAGTTTTCTGGAGGTTAATTGGAGATAAGAATCTCACGGACTTTCAAAGCCTGGGGTGTCTTTGAACCATGATCCTCAGATCTCAGGCTCCTGAGTAGCTAGGATTATAGGCATAAGCCACCAACACTGGGCTCAGGAAGTGCTATTTCTGAGAGCCAAAAGATGCAGGTATAAATGTGCATGCATATAAAGGATAAAGTACTATGTTCCATAGGACAAAGGGGGATGGTCTGCATCTAACCCAAGGATTTGAACAGGCAAAGCACAAGCCAAAGGAATGAATCTAAAAAGGATGAGTCTCAGGGTTCACCAGCAAGGGCAGGATCATCTCCTACCATCTCTCTCCCCTGCTGCTGTTGAAACAATAGCACGTGGACAGGAGGCATATGCTGCTGGAGGGGAGAGCCTCAGGTAAAAGGGTGAAAGAGCACCCTCGAATGGCCATGGCCATGACACGTTGCATCTGCCTCGTCTGTTCCTCAGAAAGGTTACCCTGCTTAAACGCCTTGGTGGTCCCACGGCATGACATATATACTTCATATGGCACACAGGAGCTTCCTGGTCTGAATCCTATCCATCTTGCTCACCCTTTGCATCCTTTGCTCTCTGCTGATTGCTTCTCTCTGTTACCTGGGCATTTTCTAAGGCAGCTATCAAGAAGCTGCCTTGTCCAGTGCCAGAGGCTCATGCCTGTAATCCTAGCTCCTCGGGAGGCTGAGATCCTATGTTCTTGGTTCAAAGCCAGCCAGGACAGAAAAGTCCATGACATTCATCTACAATTAACCTGTTAAAAAGTTGAAAGCAGAGGAGTGGCTCAAGTGGTAGAGCAGCAGTTTTGAGTAAAAAAGCTAAAGGCTATCACCCTAGCCTTGAGTTCAATCTCCTACCTGTTCCCCACCCCCTAAAAAATAAATAAAAGAAGCTGCCTCCTCTGTGGAGCTTCCCCAGACTTGGTGCCTGAGGCTCTATGTTTGTTTGATATCTAAATTGTCTAAATGTTTCCTTCTCTTGGTGGGTTCACATTGTAGAAATCAGTCCCATCCGGCCAGCATCTGGCTCAGTGTCTGCTTTCTAGTGTGCACTTAGTAGGCCACGATGACAGAACAGAAGGCTAAAGACAGGGCCTCAGGACACCATGCTAAGAAAGAAAGGCAGGGTGATTTGGCAACTTGCTGCTGTAGAGGTTGTGCACTGTATAAATCTGTGATGCAAATAGCCTTCTGTAGAGTTCGGTGCCACCTTCACATAGGTAGCAGCCCTTAGAGACACAGCTCTGAGGCCAGTATTACAGATATCCTGGTCTAGCTCTAAAATCAAGTGACAATGTGAGGAAGCAGAGAGTTCAAGGCCAAGGGTTTCCATAGCTCTTCCTGTTTCCCTCTTCTGGGAGGCGAAAGATCGGGCTAGCATGGGCTAGTATGAACATGTCCAGACATTTCCCCTGAGCCAGAGGCTCTTCTCAAAGACACGGAAGCATTAGTCTAGCGTGACCTCTAACTTCTGTTATCTATCCAGGTCAAAGTTATTCAACCTCATTGCTGACACTTTGAACTGGATACCTCTTTGTTAGGGGGGACTGTCCTGCGTATTGTAAGCTGTTAAGCTTACTGTAAGCTTATTCAGTACCTTAAATATGTCAATAGCAACTACCTCTAGCCCTACATTGGGTCAATCTCAAATATTCTCCAGACATTGATGTGTGTGTGTGTGTGTATGTGTGTGTGTGTGTGTGTGTGTGTGTGTGTAAAGGGGGTGGCAGAATCACCTCCACTAGAGAGTATCTGTTCTGTGTCATAGGAAATCAAAGGGCTCCACTGCTGTGCCCACAAAGGCACATCTGGGCGATTGACTAGACTTGTGTCTGCTAGGCACAGTGTCCTATGGTGCTGATGGTCTTCTTCAGGCTTTCTGCTGACCTGAGGCTGTTATAGCTCTGAGAAGTGGAACAGGATTAGAGTCCTGTGTTGTTCGCTCCCGGGCAATCGCCCCAGGAGAGTCCTCTGCTCTGTGGGCCACATAGCTAGCAGCTGTTCTGTGCTGTAGATTCAAGTACAGGCAGAGCAAATGGTCATGTGCTGAGATGCTCCACTAAATGAAAGACTGGGTTCCCTCATGGGGCAGAAATTGACAAACATGTAGTACCGCCGCACATAAGAATCAGTAACTGCAGGACACATGAAGATGTAAAGAAAGACCCACCTAGGGTGTAAAGAACATGAGAACTGGACAGATGGGAATAAGAAGACAGGGACATTTTACTGTGTCCTATCTTTATCTTTTTGCTGTTTTAGAAGCTCATGTGACATTCTTACCCATTCAGACAAGCAAACCAATCATGAAATATATAAAGCTTTAATATATAAACTCAAAAAACCAAGAGCTTGTTTTTCTTGGTGGTAATCCTGGGGTCTGAACTGAGGGACTTGCCTCTGCTAGGCAGCAGGCACATGACCCCGTCAGCCACAATTCCAATCATTTTTTGAATGAAAACTCATGATTTTGTCCTGACCAGCTGGGAACATGCAGCTAGGATGACAAACATGCAACCCTATGCTTAGATTTTTGCTGGTTGAGACTGGAGGCTTTGAGAACAGTTTGCCTCGGCTGGCCTGGAAGTGTCATCCTCCTGATCTTTGCTTCTCTAGGAGCTAAGATTACAGAAACGAGTTACCACATCTGTTAAGAACAAAAGGAATTTCATGTGAAAAGTTGGATAATCTCGTCCCTTAAGCTAGATTTCTGCTGGATGATACCTCCTTCCTCTCAACTCTTGACCTTCCTGAAAGACAGGGAACTGGGGAAAAGTCAGCCCTCAGAGTCATCACTGGATACTGAGACCGCACTGAGCACTGGAGGGGGCAAGTGCTCCTCACCTGCCCATCAACCCCCCCCCCCTTTTTCCTACAGATGTGTAGGAATATCCCCATTCTGAAATGGGGATAGATGGCAAGAGACATGTTCCCTGCCTCATGGAGCTAGAGGCTGGAAAGGCACTCAGAGATCCCCAAAAGACTGGATTTGTGGAGACTACAATAAGTATAGCAAACTATGAGCCTATAATTGGAGCTTCTCTCTGGGGCAAGGAAGCTGGCAGAATCGCCACTAAGGACCTGGAGGAGAAGTACCTAGGAAAAAGAGGAGAGTGGAGAATGGTCAGGGAGAAAGCTGGTGTAGGAAGGCCTACACGGAGTGTGGTCTGAGTCCAGCCAGCGAGAAGAATGGCCAAGCAGTAGGCATAGTCTTATACAGGACCATGGATACTACATTGAAGATGGAGATCTTTCCTTAACCTCAGCTTGCAATCGTGGCTAATCCTTACTAGGGCACGAAGCATGACATGCAGAGAAAGAGGCAGCAGAGCCTGCTGGCCACTATGGGAGACATGGCAGCAGGGTGTGAGGATGAAGAAAGGCAGTCAGAATGAAAATGTTGTCCTGCCTTCCTCTCCTCCTCTCTTCCCCTTCTTCGGCCTTAATACAGACATATCCCAGGTGGCAGATGAGGAAGAAAGCCCTTGCTCCAAGTGTAATGAGTGGACTTGAGTTGGATCTGCCATCTCTGAGATGTTGAAGGTCATGTGCAGTGTGCCATCTCAAGAAACACATACATGCTGTTCCTTTCCCACAAGAATAATCATTCTGGGCTGTATATTCAGTGGTAGCCTCTAACCCCTGCCTGAACTGCCTGAACACCCCCTCCCCACCATGGGGCAGCTGTGAATTCTCACATAGTGGTGAGAGGTGGGGAAGAGAAAGGGAGAAAAGCATGTGGTGTGTGTGTGTGTGTGTGTGTGTGTGTGTGTGAGAGAGAGAGAGAGAGAGAGAGAGCGTGCCCATGTAAAGATATATAAGACAAGAGTCCCAAGGAGCAGGATAACCGGTGAAGGAACAATGACTCACAGCTTTCAAGATGCTGACGGCTTCCTTGCTGAGCCAGACGGGGTAGAGCACATCATCGTGGAGGATGGACTCAAATAGGTCATCCTCATTGTCAGCCTCGAAGGGGGGCTGTCCGGCCATCATCTCGTACATCAGCACACCCAGGGCCCACCAATCCACTGAGGGGCCATACTCCAATTCCTGCAGGATCTGTTCAGGAAATAGACAATGTCAGAGACCACTGAAGGTCCTCATCCCACCAACGCCCCCCACCACAAACTCCTGAGGGAAGGTCTATGCCTCCGTTTTCACATAATAGAGCTGCGTTATTCAAGGGATGGCCTAAACTAATACATTCAGAGAACCAAATTTGTGAGGCACTTTGCTTTGGAAGGCTGTTATCTCCCCTAAGTCCATATCAATAGTCTAGCCTCCAGTAGTGGAAAATGTCTATTTCTTTGAGCATTAGACTTAGTCTCTGACTTACATTTGAAGCCATATTCCTATTACTATGTAGTATTTTGTGCCAGTCCTGTGCCTTAAACTCAGGTACTATTCCTTAGCTTTTTCACTCAAGGCTCAACCACTTGAGCCACAGCACCACTTCCAGCTTTTTGATAGCTAACTAGACATAAGAGTCTTATGGACTTTTCTTCTTGGACTGGCTTTGAGCTGAGATCCTTAGATCTCAGCCTCCTGAGTACCTAGAATTACAAGCGTGAGCCACTGGTATCCTGCTAGGGCCATATTTTTAAAATGCATATTTTGACATGAGGCACAGAGTCAGGGGAGTAAACTGCAAACTCCACCAGACCCATGCAAGCTGAAAGTGACTGGCAGCTCCACGAGTTCAGGTTTCTCCTCACATACAACCGGCGCCCTGCTTACACGGACACTGCCCGCACAGCTCCATCTTCCTTCAAGGGTAACAATGTCGAATTTACCTATGCCCTGTACTCTTTGGAAGGACAGAAAAAAAGCCATCCCCTCTCTTTCCCTGATTTCTCTAGCTCTTTCTCCTGTGCTCTGACATCCTAAGACCCTACCTATTCCTTAGGTTTACAGGCACTTCCCATTTACTACTGACTTTAAAAAAAATTATTTTTCCATGGTCAACTGTCTCCCCTGGGCATCTCTAAGGCACCAGAAAGTAAAGGTTCTAGGATTCTTCAGTGCCCACTGGTATGACTGCCCATCGGGAGACAGCTCACAATTCTTTTTTTTAACATTTTATTATTATTATCTTGAAGAAGTTGTACAAAGAAGTTCCCATTCTACAAAACAATATATGAATACAAGGTGCCTGACAACATTGTCACCCATTGCTCTTAACCCATCCCTTCTCTCACTTTTCTTTTTTACATTGAGATTAGGTGATTACATAAATTTCACATATTTCACAATATTGTGGAATACTGATACCTAGTTAAAGTCACAAAGACATTTTAACCTTCATAAGGCAACTTGTCATTATCATGATCTATGAAGTTTGTGAATTCTATGAGCTTTGACAATACAATTATTTCTTTCACATCAGGTGATGTTTACATTTCTTCCCTTTTGCTTAGTGTAGGCTGTTCCTTCTTTCCCTCTCATTCCTCCCTTCCCATCGCTGTCTTTGGGTTGCTTAGTTCTTTTTCTTCTATGTCCAGTGCAGACAGCTCACACTTCATATGCATCACTGGGTATATTTTAATCAGTGTACTCTGCTAACTCCTGTGCTCAAAGAGTTCTAAGTACAAAGGTGGCCACTCTCTAGCCTCAGGGATGTGGAATAGTCGAGGCCTGTACCTCTAGGGTGTGGCTTGTGTGCTCAGAACAGATGGTGGAAACTGCACAGTGGCCATATCCAATCTTCCCAGGTCCTGTCAGAGTCTTCTTGGGTGGCATCTTTTGTCAAATTCCTTTTCAGGATTGGCCCTAATTATCTATGTCCCAATCAGCCTCCTAGCAATGGAGCTGGTAACAAGGGCAAGGCTTTGCATACATGGAAGGGCGGGGGGACCTGATATGGCAGCCAGCCCCTGGAGTGGGTCAGAGCTGGGATGGGAGAGAGGAGCCAATGACCTCAGAAGTTGCCCAAGGCTATTGGCCCTCTCCTGGGAAGCAGGGGCCAAGCATGGAGAAAAGAGAGGTATGCCAGAGGGCTCCTCCAGGGCAGGAAGAGAAACCCTTTGACAGAACTGATGCCTTAGAACGTGGCTCTGGTTTCAGGGCTAGCCTCTCCTGTTTGAATACAGGCTTATATCTTCTGAAGCAGTCCCATGCTTAAATCCTATTAGGCTGTCAAAACAGCCTGCTGAGATGGGTAGGGCAGGCCTTGTAATTCCCATCGGAAAGGTGAAGAACATTTTCTGACTTCATCAAGGGCATATAGGGGCATTTTGGTTAAGTTGGGACTCGAAGTCTCAATTCTCAAGACTGTTTTTCCTGCCCTATTACATAAGCCAATGAAGAAGGTAATTAGGGGAGCCCGCTCTTGGTGTTCACTATGGACCGAGCACTGTTGTTAAGTGTTTCGGAGACACAACTCCATTTCATCTTCCCGCTAGCCCTTGGTAAAGTTGGCAATACCGTTCTCTCTCTGCTGTTCTCTCTCAGCTGTCATCTTCCTGCCTTAAGATCAAAGTTGTTTGTCTCATCTGGTGTCGTGGTGATTCTGCACAGTGGGCAAAGGACAGAGTGGAAAGGAAGGGTGACTGGACCTTGTTATGAGCAGACACCAGAGTCTTGCCAGTGGATGGCTTTGTGTGGAAGCTGAGTGGGCGTTGTGCTCATTGTAAAGTGAATGTTTTTCTTGGGTGGGGTTCCAGCTACTATACTGGCTGCTGACCCCTTGACTCTGGAACTGAGCATGCTCATGATAAAGAAGGAAGGAAGAAGATGAGAAAAGCAGGTCCAAGTGGAAAGTCCTTATGTTCATTTCAGTGATGCAGTCAAGTTTTGTTTTGTTTTGTTTTTGGTGCTGGTATCAAGGCTTGAACTCAGGGCCTAGGCACTGTCCCTTAGTTTTTTTTCACTCAAGGCTGGCTCTTTATCTCTTGAATCACAGATCCACTTTCAGTTTCTTGGTTAATTGAAGATAAAAGACTCACAGACTCTCCTACCCTGGCTGGCTTTGAACCACAATCCTCAACTCTCAGCCTCCTGAGTAGTTAGGATCACAGGTGTAAGCCACCCACATCTGGTTCAGTCAATTTTTTTATCCCACATTTCTTTGTGTCTAGAAGACCAAACAATGCTTTTAAAAAGGACATGAAATTCCAGTGTGCTGATATTGCATCCTCATGGGCAACGCTTAACACCTTCCCATCTTCTGTGTCTCAGAATTAAGGTATTGTGTGTGTGTGTGTGTGTGTGTGTGTGTGTGTGTGTGTGTGTGTGTGTGTGTGTGTGTGTGTGTATTACTAGGGACTGAACAAAAGGCTTCATATTTGTTAGGCAAAACATCCAAACAACTGTAATGCAAGGTAAGCTGTTGCTGAGGCTCACAATGACATCTCTGCCCTGTCCATTTCTTGTTCTATCCTGTGTACCCATGGTGTGGAACTGCCATCACAATGGAAATGGCAAACATTTCCTGGTTCCACGGCAGGCAAATTAAAGCTGAGGAAACGACTTGCTGCCTTTTTGAATGGTGCATCTTTATTCTGATGAGGAAGAAGTGCAAACAATGGCATTAGTTAAGTTTCTTAGTCAGTTTTGTTGGTGGTTCTGGGCTACAGCAAAGGGAAGGATGTCCCATAAGGCCTCACCCAGATATGGGGAATGACTGTTACTCTTAGTTCATCCACCTCCTCCCATCACTACCACATCCATATAAAGAAACCAGCAAACCTTTCCTTTTCCTGTTTCTCCCTCCTAGAATCCATCCTGGTGTTCCAGAGTCTTCTCCCAGTTCCACTCAATGAACCCAGTACATGGTATTTTACTTCTGACTCATCCCTAGTCCTAAGGAGGTGGCTCTTTGCACAAGGGTCTTACCTCAGGAGCTATGTAGTCTGGAGTCCCACAGAATGTGGTGGTGGTGACACCATTCAGAATCCCTTCCTTGCACATTCCAAAATCAGCTAGCTTGCAGTGACCTTCTGCATCTAGAAGGATGTTGTCCAGTTTCAAATCCCTGCAAGACAGGCCAAGAGCACAAGGTGAAGCTCACTCATCCTGATATGGTCTTCTCTGAGTTGGAGAGATACACATAAGCTAGGGAAACCTCCAGAAAAGGAAGTCCTGGAGGAAGTTCAACACACCCCAGACCAACTTCAGTTAGGGACTCTCTCCCAGTTGGTCAGCCCCCAGTGGTATTACCATCTTTTTAGCAAGAGGGAGGAATTAACATAGCTTAAAGAATGTACCAACACTGCTGAGTTTAGGCTGGGATGTAGCTCAGTGGTAGAGTGCTTGCCTAGCATGAATATGGCCTGGGTTCCATCAAAATGTAAAAACAACTGTTGAGTTTAATAGTAGCCACTTATGGAAGTCTCATTCTATGCTGACATTCATGTTATTGAGACACATCTAGGAGAGAAAAAGGAAGCTAATCTTTCATTCTTATCCTCTAATCAGCTAAGGCAACCAGGTTAACCCATGTCATTGGCAATAAATCAGAGAAAACCACCCGAGAACTGGGAATTACTGCTCAAGGCATCAATTATATGAGCTGCAGGCGGTTGGAGAGCTCGTGGCCAGTTGTTGTCAGCAATGTGGACCAGGCTTGAATTGGAGGCTGATGATTGGCTAGAAGAGGAGGTGGATGCAAAAAGGTGATGAGGAAACCAGAGAACAAAGGGGCAAGGCAGGTGTGCTGGAAGCAACCTCAAAGATCTCGGCTGGAAATGCCAGGAAGAGGGTTTGCGATCTATGCTGAGATCAATGGGAGCAGTGTCTTCAGGGCTCTAATGTGTGTGCAAGATCAGCTTCTGGGAACAGCCGGTGAAGTGGAGGCTGACGGAAAGCACACTGGTTGAAATAACCTGGACTTATGGGGCCTAGATGGCTCTGTGCAGGAGGTGACAGCCACAGGGAATGCTGCCCTTAAGCCAGTATGGCTTCTTTGCAGCCTATTTTACACTTGAAATTCTGTGTAAAATCGTATGCGAAACCTAGGATTCTGAATTTCCCTACTACCCAAACCTAGAAACCTCAAGCCTGGCCTTGAAGAAGATTCCAGACTGTCTGGTTGGAGGTTCTGCCCTGGGCCTTCCTCAGCAGCTACTCTTGAGTAAGGGGTCGTGCAAAGAAGGCCAATCACTTTGCATGCAATGGCTGCTGTCATCTGGACTTGAGCTCAAGCCATTGCCAGGGACCCAGGCCCATGTGGAGGTGGGGCAGGAAGTGCTCTCAGGCCTCCTTGCCTCGCATCTGTGACCCCATTTCCGCGTATGGCTGGGACTCCTTGAGAAGGAAGAAAGCATATAAAATGTGCTGCTCTAAGCAAATGCTTGTGAACTGCAGAAAGAACAGGGGACATGACAAAGAGGAGCCATTGGAGCTGGGCTTCCTGGCCCCTGTCCTGGCCCCTGACCTGTGTATGGTCAAGGTCCAGCTCTGGTTGGAGGATGGGAAATCAGGGGTGTATGCTGGGCTGGGATTTTAGCATTAGTTGTGGCATGGCCCTGGTGTAGTCACTTTCTTTGCTGACTGTCAAATCAGGATGACATATTCTGCTTGTAGCCTCATGAGAAAGACTAATAGGATAGATTGTAGATGAGTTGAAAGCCTGTGATATTGCTCCATTCTCTATCTCCAGGAAGACTAAGTTGGGAGGACTTGGGCATTCTGGATGCCCATCTGCAGGTGTTCCAACACTGGGAGATTGGCCATCTGGGTTCAGCTGAGTTTCATATCCCTTGGTGCTCTAATATCCAGAGCTGCTTTCGCAAGGTTTACACAGCATGCACAAAAGACCCTAATGGCAGTGGCAATCACAGAACTAACCAGAACAATGCTTCTTTATGTGACTGAATTTATGAGAGCATCTCATGATTTAGCAAGCATCACATTTGTGCTCTGAATTAGGGAGGTCCTGAATTAGGGAAGGTGTGCCTTGTTAAGACACTATCCTTGCAGAACAGAGCAGAGGTAGGAAGGAGGTAAGTGATGTCTTCAAAGTTATCAGGGCTCTGCTGCTCCCGGAGCTGGTGTGTCAACCCTGAACCATCCTATTCTGCTTTCTAGCCTTGAGTTGATCCCCCTCCCCCCACCCTGTGCCAGCCAACATCATTAACTTGATAAAAACAAATCAACAAAAACAATACACCAAGCCTTTGTCAAACCATAGCAAAAACTTGCTCTAATTTTTGTATAAATGGAATAGATTCCAAAGATTCCATGTCAGCCTGAATCCGGCCTTTCTGTGGCTGTAGACTGCCAAATGGAAGAACTGGGGCTCATGAGGCACTGCCCTAGTCTCTTCCAAGGCTTCCCACACTGCAGAGATAGTCGAGATATGGTGGACTTCTAAGTTTTTCTTCTGTCTGTTCCTCCCCCACCCCTAATTGAACTAAGATGTACACCATCCATCCCTTTGATTCCTACGTTAGCTTCTTCCTTAAGAAGAAGCCACCATTCCAGTGTAAGCACCTGCTGAGTCTGTAGGACATATAGGCCAGGTACAGGGAGCTGCCCCTAGCTGTGACCCAGGGAGGTCCCAGGCCAACAAGCTTCTTTCCCACCTCCTGCCATGAATGCCTGAACTCTGGCCTCTAATCACATCCTCACAGTTTCCCTCTGCTATCTCAATTTCTTGTGACCTTTGTTAAAACCTTGTATTAAATCTCCAGATGCACTTAGAATTTTTATGAACCCTTTATTCTATACTATTTTCTAGACAACAATTTTAAATTATTGCAAGTTTATTATGTTTAACACCAGCAGAACTGGTGCCTTTCTTTTTCAAAATTTCTTGACTATTCTTGTTTATTTTTCCATATGAACTTTAGAATTGTATGTCTAGTTAAAAAAGTTCCTGGTACTGTTTTTATTGGGAACATGCTCAAAGTTATAAATTAACTCAGGGAGAATTGATATTTTTATGATATTGAGTCTTCCTATTCTATAATGCTGTTTTTCTTTCCATTTGTTAAGTATTTTCTGTGTTCTTTTGGAGCATTTTAATAATTATCTCATATAGATCTTGTACATTTCTTGTTGCTTTTTATGGCAGATTGCCAATTTTCCTAATATACATCCTCCCTTCCTTAGACAGAAAAACGTTGATATTTTTCTTTTTAAGCCAAGTAGCTGTAAACTGGAATTAAAAGTCCCTTAGAGCTTGGTGTGGCTAGGTGAACAAATTGTAGCCAATTCTATATGGAGAAGTTTTGTTTTTTGGTTTTTTGTTTTGAAAAAAGGGCATTCAGCAAGCGCCAGTGGCTCACACCTGTTATCCTAGCTACTCAGGAGGCTGAGCTCTGAGGATCATGGTTCAAAGCCAGCCCGAGCAAGAAACTCTGTGAGACTCTTATCTCCAATAAACCACTCAGGAAACCAGAAGTGGTGCTGTGGCTCAAGTAGTAGAGTACTCGCCTTTAGCTGAAAAGCTGAGGGGCAGCACTCAGGCCCAGAGTTCAAGCCCCATGACAGACAATAAAAAAAAGCAGGGTAGGGGGGCTTCCTTTTCTTTCTCTTTCTTTCTCTCCTGTGTCCTGAATGGCTGGGTTCCAGTAACCACCTTAGATCACAAATACGAGGACCAAACCCGAAATGGTCAGATGACTTTCACATTAAAAAAGAATCATAGCTTAGCAGTGGTGGCTCATGCCTGTAATTCTAGCTACTTAGGAGGCTGAGATCTGAGGATCGTTTGAAGTCATTCTGGCAGGAAAGTCTGTGAGACACTTACTTCCAATTAACCACCAAAAAGCTGGAAGGTGAGATATGGCTCAAGTGGTAGAGTGCTAGCCTTAAGCAAAAAAAAAAAAAAAAAAGCTTAGACCATGCTCAGGCCTTGAGATCAAATCCTAGAACTGGCACCAAGAAACCCCCAAACAAATGAACAGAAAAAAGAACAACAACAAGAAAGCAAAAGAATCTTATATCTTACTTAAGGCACTGTTGTTTGGTGTATGTTAATTACACCAGAATCCACTTAGCTATTATTCTCTTTTTCAAAATCCTTTGTGTAAATGAAGTTATTCCCTATATCATATCTTCTGTCTGGCTACAGATACATATTCTATACTAATTCTTGATTATCCTATTTTTTCTCTACCAATATAGTAAATTCTCTTAATTTTTATATTTCTGGTTTATTTCTCTTGTCTGGTTGTATTGACTAAATATCTCAACAACAATGCGAAATAATATTGGTGATAAACATCTTTGGGTAGAATTTGATTTCAGGAGGGGTACTCCCAACATCTCTCGCTCAGGCAGAATAACTTTATCATAACCTTCCCCATCTAAATGGAATAGTAAGGCAGCTGCCTTACTATACTTCCCACTATTCAGGACACTGGAAAGAATTTCCCAGAAATTACACTTCCTCTCCCAGCTGCCAGAGGGACCCAAGGGATACAGACTGTGGGCAAGAGGATGGGGGCAGGCCCTTTGGGTTTCATCTAGTAGAGAGTGTTTTAACCTCAGTACACTGGGGCTAGATTAACATCTAGAGCCAGATACTTCTTTGTCTTGAGGCTGTTCTGTGCATTGCAGACTATTACTACCATCCATAGTCTCTAGATGCCATTAGTACCATCCTCCAGTTGTGAAGCTCGAAACAACTCCAGACATTACCAAATATTCCCAGCAGGAAATCTGATGAACCACTATCATTCTAATAAGTCTTAATCATAGCTCCAAGATGGCCTAGCTCAGATCATTAAATCAAATAGAGGATTGGGAGCAACACTCTGGGTAAAAGAAAAGGGTGTGCTTGCCTGGTGTGTCTTCTGACATTTTCTCCCTGGAAGACAGGAATTCTGACCACTCTCACATCACTAACATTTGACATCATCCACCTACCTTGTAAAATAAGAAAACAGGCTAAAAGATCTCATGGCTCATAAGACACTGACCCTGTGACTCAGTGACCACCTTTTAGATATAACATAAGATGCATGCGTTAGAACCTTCACTTGATCCATGTATCTAAATTCCTTTGGGCTGGGAAAAGAAGTTTCC